TTTGTATCTGAATGATAAAGTATACAATTTCCGCCCAACGTTGTGTATTATAAGGACTACGGGTTTGAGAATGATAAAAACGTAAACTGTAGATCAAACAATAAAAATTAAATTATCTTTTCATAATTCGACAATGGTTTTTTATTTGTGATAGTCATATATATTTTTATTATGCTACCACAAATGGATTTCGATTCTTCCTTCTTCCTTACTACATAATATGTTACCCAGATACAGCGCAACTTTCAACAACTTTCTCTTATTACATTTCTTTGTCACGTTATCATAAGGTTTTACTCAATATTTAATTAAATTTAACTTTTAGATTACTTTTTGTTTTTTAATTAAGATTTCTTTCGACTTTAGTAGTCGGAATTTTCGGCTTCTTATTCATTATTTTCTGCCTTGATTTACCTTGATACGACGTGTTTTTCCACAGTAATGTGAGTAGTGAGGCGCATGATGTAATGGTTACCGGCGCTTATAAATATTTAAAAAAAATGTCTCATGGCGATTTTAAAGAGTAAATAAGAGTTTATTGGTAGTTCTTCTCGTCCATTCCACGCCCTTGATTTGATAGCAGTAAATATAAATTTAGAAGCATAGTTTTTTTTCTGACGTTCACAGGTGTTAATTAAGTTATTTACATGAATAAATCATATTTTTAAATGTTGATTTTGTTTTAAATAATATATTTTCCTACTAAAATTTTAAAAAAATTAGCTGCCTGGTCAGAGAGTCTTTTAAAAGAGTACTTTAGTATAAAGTGCGATGTTGATTTAGTTTTTATAAATAATGCTTGGTCTTTAAACCTACTGTATATATTATGATGGCAAGAGAAATCCCGGTAGACGGAGGCTGCATTGGTGGGGTTCAGTTGTAAAGACCTCGAAACAATGGTGTTTGAAATTGGAAGCACGAGATACATTGCAATGGTGAGAGATTTTTGCTAAGGCTAAGACTAAAAAATAATTAAATCACTCTAGACATTTTTTTCAAAAATATAGAGAAATAAAAACTAACCACTTTAATTTTGTTGATTATCAGCAATATATCCTTGCTATGAGTAAATCACTATTAAAGCGTGCGGCGAATGTGGTCGAAACACTAATCGCTTGCACAGTACTGAACTGATGCATTGTTGTGCCCAAGCTGTATCTAATGTAAACCCATTTTAAAGCCTGTAAATCGGTTACCGTTTATTAAGCGTAAATTACGTATTCGATTCGCATTTATGTGTGTGTCGTGAAACTGTTACGATATAAAATATAAACTATCTTTTATTTCGGCAAGACGTTTTGAGCTCTGGGCGTATGTGCGATTGGCGGAGCAGCCCACAAGGGACCTACGACATCGGTTGACTATTATGGCTGATTGGCTGGACCAAGTCGGTTATGTAACTCTGAAAGCGATGTCGACTTCAATATTGAACATATGTACATAATTTTTGTTTATTTTTCAATATCACTGACACTGATGTCGCTGCGGACCGCGTGGTTCTAAACTTAATATCAAAGTAGGGATCGCTATTGCTTTTCAAAGTTACGGAGTACTGGTACCTGATGAGACATGCAAGGCATGTATAGCATAAAATAAAGAACGGAAAAAAAGAAAAAAAAATTATACATAATAAAAAAGAGATTTAATACTTCACATTTAAATTTGTTTTTATACAAGCCTTTCTAGCAACAACAAACGTAAAAAGAAATATAAACAAAAATGCGCGGTATGCGATTCGGCGATTCATTTTTATTTATAAAATTTGCATGAAGTTTCGTCTTCGTTCAACGACGATTGATAGGGACGACTGGAAGGAAAAAGAAGGAATATTCTTAGTAGGACAAAATTAAGAGATGCAAGAGATTTATTTAATTTAATGCTTAGATCAAAAGTGGGATGTCGGAAAAATGTTTATTAAGGAAGTCAAGATTCAAATCAGCAGAAAGTGGATGTTTTAGTTGTTTCCCGATTCCTGACAATATCAGCTTAGCTTTTGCACGATTTGTAGTTTCAATTTGATGTCATCAGTTAACCGTGGGGAAGGTAAATTTTTCACTTTCACTGGCCTTGACATGACAATCATACAGCTGCGTTAGCAATGAATTAAAAAGAATAACTTTCATGTGAACATCTCTTTCGTTATACACCGAGTTCCAATTCAACTCAGTAGCACCAGCAGAAAAACTCTCTGTATCTATGTCACTAAAATTACATTGCATAAGAATTTAAGAGAAGAATGTAAGAAAAGGCATCAGCAGGGATTTGGCCATGTTTCTGCACCAGGATAGGGTTAGAAACAAATATGAGATCCAGCAGCGATGGGGTAGAATTTGGAAAGTGATGAGTGGGATTCAAAGGTAAAATGTTAAAATTGTAAGATTCGACGGTGGATGTTAATTTGTGCGAGAGATGGTCATTGCTCAGCAAACAAGTATTTAGATATCCCATTAAAATGGTGTTTAATTATAGTTAAGAACAAAAATTATCTAAAAGCAGACCAAGGTCGGTAAAAATTTCAATCAGGGACTATAAAATACTCCAAGGATTAATATGGAATGCGAAAAGAGACTTCAAGTAACAGATACTCACTGCATCATTTGGTGGGGGTTGCGGTGAGCTGCTAAGGACAGTAAAAGTATAGTAATAGTAAAAAAATCTGGGCACGTAAATAAATAGCAACACCTCCCCCAACTCTGCCCAGACGGTCGTTCCGTAGAAGATTAAAGCCAGGAATGGGAAAGGAAGTAGAAGGAAGACTAGGTTAAGGCCAAGTCTCAGAAATAAAAATGGCGTGAATATTACAGTATTAAAATGATGTTAACAGATCGTTAAAATGCGCCGGAACACTTTAAGCATTGATGTGGAAGACATTAAAGTTTTTTGATAGGCCTATGAGGGAATTAGAAAGGTGCACATTCAGAAGGTAGAAGGAGGTATCGAATAAGCTAGCCTCGTAACTAGAACTACTTAAATTAGCTGACGATGAAGTCGACTTTAAGCTATCTTCACTGACAACCATTGAGATAACGTTTACACTTATCAATAACAATAACGATAAGGCTAATCTACAATGTCCTAAAAAAATGTAAAATAAATAAAATTTAAAATAATTATGATAAAGATAAATTACTACGCTTAATAAATATACTGCGAATAATAATTTCTTCACAGATTAAGTACACAGTCCCAACTGGTACCTTCTTTAAAAAAATAGGAAAACATAATTACAGCAAACGGTGAAACCAATGCAACAATACATCGGTAAACTATTATTATAAATATTATGATAATAACTTAATTATAATGATAATAACTTTTATAAAAAAATAAATCTACTGCACACAGAAACAGACACTTGCAACCGTCAAGCGTCAAATGTCAATCTGAGATTTTGACATATGACAAAACGCATTCGACAACAACACAAACATTTTTAAACTTTGAGTTCACTAACAATAACAGTCCACAAATTACAAGTTACCAACCAACAATTAGCCAACGTTAACTTCAAAGGTTTAAGTATATATCTATATATATAAAAATTAATGCCTATTTCCCTTGGTCACGGCATCACGCCTGAACGGCTGGACCGATTTCGCTAATTCTTTTTTTGTTGTGTTTGTTATTGTCAGGAGAATATCCATGACGGCGCATTGCTAGCGCCATCTGTTAAGAATTACATTCGAACGAGATTTGACAATTGTCAGTCTGGCGGAGCGTCGTGTCGATGGTCAGCGCGGCCATGATGAATTTCGTTTAGTTTTCGAACGTCAACGGCGAGCGCACCACGTTTGCGACGAATCGCTTTTGTTCCGAGTAATCTTGTGCCTTGTTGTTTCAAAACTAATTAAAAGTGATTAATTAAGTGATTTTAGTGAATTGCTGTAAGGGAGATAATTTATGTGATTAAATAACTTTTGATTGTGACTTTGGTGATTCTTTTGTTCCTACCCACATTACAACTTATTGAAGACATGGCTGATTCTTCTGATGATAAAGGGCATCCGCTTAGATACATATATTTTGTACATTTGTATGACAATACTTGGCGATTAAAAAGAGTGGCGGAAAGTTTCTTGCCAGTTCTTCTTACCCGCTCTACGCCCTTGACTTGCGAACTGGTAGTAAATGTAAATTTACGATTAATTTAACTTGACGATTCAAAAGTGTACTTGGTTACCTACTTGAATAAAGATATTTTGAGTTTGAGTTTGAGTTTGAGTATAAAATAATCTATCACATGGCCAGTTATATGTCGCCTGTTCTCGAGTCAGAGTACCAATAAAACTATTTATATACGAGCCAGAAAAACAAACAAAGAATGTTGTATATCATAAAGTATTAGAATAATAAACACTTTGTTTCTGAAATAATTTTTTAGTTAATTATACCAATTCAAAATCAATATTTATAGTTAAGACAGGACAACGTCTGTCGGGTCCGCTAGTACAAAAACAACATTCTGAAGAGTATGATAGATAAAGTTCTTTGTTATGTCAAAATATAGCCAATTGATGGTGCAAACAGTAACATTGGACACCCAGCATATTCAGTACAAGATACCATAGTCTACCAAAGTTGATAACGTAGATTATCAACCTTGGTCTCGTCATTCGCCAATGTCGGTTCACTACCTTGTGTAGTCCAGTCATCAGTGTGATAAAATATCAGTTTATTCACACGTTTTAAAATTTAAGATAAGTTTAATTATGTGAATTATTGTAAAAAACTTAAAGCATATATTTGAATATAAAAACGCAATATTAAAAAGTAAAATACCGAAGTATTTACAACAACAAGTAAGTATTTTAATTCAATATCGTGTTCACGTCTGTATCACAAGGTGTTCTTATCACTTGACCAGTTAGATATTTTGCACTATTTGATAAGCTCTTAACATATTGTGTCTTGAATAATTTAAAAATTATAGTATATGTTCACAAGATAGAACTGGTAATTGAATTGGAATTTCTTAACCATTTACAGCTGAACGTGTTATAATGGTTAAGGCAAGAAAATACGTCGTAAAAAGGCATTTTCAAGGAGTTCCCAAAAAGGATGACTTTGAAATTGTCGAATATGAATTGCCGCAGCTGAAAAACGGTCATTTCTCCGTCAAAGCTGAATGGATCAGTGTCGACCCTTATTTTAGAGCCTACAACTCTAATATACCCACTCCCTACGACCAGTTCGGCTTTCAAATAGGTACAGTTACAGAGTCAAAGAATCCACACTTTCCAGTTGGCTGCAGGGTGTTTACTCATAAGGGATGGTGTGACTACAGCGTGGTTACCAATTTAAAAGAAACCTACGGTAATGTACATATATTGCCAGATCTTCAAGGTCTACCCTTTGAGTTGGCATTGGGAGCTTTAGGGATGCCTGGAGTCACCGCTTACTTTGGGTTTCTTGAAATCTGTAAACCAAAAGCTGGCGAGACCGTAGTTGTATCAGGAGCAGCGGGTGCCGTCGGATCCATTGTAGGACAGATTGCAAAGATCAAAGGGTGTAGAGTTATTGGATTCGCTGGCTCCGATGACAAAGTGCAATGGCTTGAGAAGGAACTAGGATTCGACAAAGCTATAAACTACAAGACTGCGGATGTTAGTAAAGCTTTAAAAGACGCAGCTCCAAAAGGCGTAGATTGTTATTTTGACAACGTAGGTGGGGAGCTGACTGCTACTATTTACAACCAAATGAATTTGTATGGAAGAGTTTCTCTCTGTGGCTGCATTAGTTCGTACAATGAAGACCCAACCACGTATAAGACATCATCATTGCTGCCGCTCATCTTATTCAAGCAGCTACAAGTGGAGGGTTTTTTAGTTCCCAGGTGGTTAGAACCAGAAGACAGGAGGCCAGAGGCGATCACTGCTCTGACTCAGTGGATAAAACAAGGCAAGATAAAGACAAGAAGCCATGTGACCGAAGGATTTGATAAAATATATGATGCCTTTGTAGGAATGCTCGCTGGAGAAAATACGGGAAAGGCTGTTGTAAAAGTTTGATAATGTGTTATTAATGTAACTATTTAATAAATAATTATTCTAATTTTTCGTTTTATTGTGCTTAATATGGAATAGGACTTGTTGTTCTTACCAAAACCAAGTAATTACGAATTTCAAAAATACAATAATGTAATGTGATCACAAAAAAATCAAATAATGAATGAATATAGTCTATGTATTTATTTATATCTTTGAAAACAGTACAGTTACTAAAAATATGTTACGCTATGATATTTATATCTTAAGATTATACAGTGTAATCTCTTTATGACGTCATTCGTTATAACAAAAAAAAGGATAACCTAAAATAGTTACATTTGTTTCGTTTAACACAAATCCAACAACTCTCTATAACGAAGAAATATTGTTATATTAAGACATCAACAACATACTTAATTGTTTTTATAATCAGCTTACGAAAATAACGTAAGAAGTAAAAATAAAATTTTAGAAAAAAATACATTCATTGTTTAGAATTACTTTTTAACCACTTTATCTAAAAATCTTCTAAAATTGTGCATAAATTGTTTGTTTATTAAAATAAAAGTAGATTCTAATGAATTCGTCGATATTTAAATTTGATTTAACCACATTCGGCCTTGGAACATAAATTGTGTAAATTTAAAAATAACTAGTTTTAGTGGTTAAAATATTGTTAACAGGTCAACATTTATGATGGTAAGCAAGAAAGTATGTGGTAAAAAATATTTTCAAGGCCTTCCAAAACGCGAAGACTACATAGTTGAATATGATTTATGCCAATAAAAAACGGAATATGCTTGTAAAATCCGAATGGATAAGTGTAGGTCCTTACCTTCAAGTCCACAACCCTTTTCTACAAGTGCCATACGACCAGTTCGGTTCATAGATTATATTTAAATGGATAAAAAACACTACAACAAAATTATATCGTTTCATTAAAATTCGCTGCTCCATCTCATATTGAGTTAATTGGGTTAATTAAACATTAAAATGGAGAGCTAAATGCTTGAATAAAATTATTTACAGAAATGAGGGGCATCTTCACGAAATGTTCAATGAATTTTAAACATTGTTTCGGAATAGTCCAAGCCAGAAAAATAATCTCAAATGATTGTTGAATAGTTAAAACTCTTTTAGTAAATAATTTAGTAATTCGCCTTTAGCAATTAATTGGTACTGAATAGATTAATTATTTTATGCTGTTTTATGAATTCATTTAATTTGTTTTTCGTTGATAATTTTTTAAGACCATGCCTTTGTTATCTGCGTGTAATTTATACGCTTATTGTCATTAATTGTTCTGTGCATTACTTTAATTTGTCTTGTTTTAATTTTTTTGTGTTGTTATAATAGTCGATGAGAATCAATTATGTGTAAATGTTTTGCTGTGTATAAAACTGTAAAATTGTAGCATAAATATAGAATCTATATCATACTCAAATTAATAATTGACATGTACGGTACTAATGTTTCTCGTAATTTCATTTACTCATATTATTTCAAACATTTGGTAACCAGAAATAGTCATATGGAAGATGGTGTAATGGTTGCAGCTCCTTACAAACATTGTGTAAAACAAAACACTTTGCGATTAAAAAGAGTGGTGGAGAGTTTATTGCCAGTTCTTCTCTACCGTTCTACGCCCTTGATTAGAGAACTGGCAGTAAATGTAAAATTAGAAGCATTTAATATATATTTATTTTTTGACGTTCATAAGAGTACATTGTGTTACCTATATGAATAAATGATTTACCCTATGGCCTCACCTATAATATGCACGATTCAAAATTTGTTATTAAAACGTCAAAGCAACAACAGTTTTAATAAAACATCGCAATGCAATTAAAACTACAATAAATTAACAAAACCATCCATTAAGAGTAATGACTAATGCGGTTTAACACTAAATAAAACAGAGTCCGAACATTGGCCAAAAACTTTGTATGGACAATTTGAGCGGGCTCCAACAAGACAATGGGTATGCCCGAAAGCGTTTTACGTCTGCCAACAACCACAATAAACACGCTTGGCAATTTTGTCACAATTCATTGGACCTTATCTTGACCGCGAAGCCCATATCCGAACACCAGGCAATTATAACGGTAGCTACTCTCTTGAAAAACTTGTTGACCATCGCTGGTTTTGATTAAAATCACTCGGGGGCTTGAAGCAAACCCCTCAATGTACGCAATGAATTAATTATATCAAATATAAGATGTAGATAAAAGTAACGTGGAAATGGCCATCCATAACGAAACACGATCGTACCGATTCGTATCTATTTCTTAATAGAGCCGAACGTCTTTTAGAAGACAATTGGACAGTATTTCCATGAATAATTTCGTTTCATGGTTATCTTGATCTGCTTGACATTTGATGGGGGTATTAGGATGACAAAAGGAATATTAAACATGTTGAAGAAATGTGAGCTTTATCCTAATGATAAAAAGATATTTGTAACTGTAACTTTGTTGGATTAACAAATAAAACATTGAATTTTAACTAATTGATCATTTGTTTTTATTCATTCTATAAGTGATATTGAAACTAAGATACTATTAAAAGCTTAGAATATAATCTAGACTTCAGCTGTGAATAAATATAATTATTAGTTTATGTGTATAATTTTAATTTTATAATATTTTACCTAAAAAAAAAAAAAAAAAAAAAAAAAACCCCCCGGGAAAAAAAAAAAAAAAAAAAAAATTTCTTTGATAATTGCTGTTTATACTATGTTTTCTTATTAAATTTAATCACATGTTGATTTAATTTTTTTACTTAGTAAAGCCATTTCCGTACGTAGGTAAACTTTAAATAGTGGGTTATTTAGTCGAAATTTCATGGTTATATCCCTTTTAAAGAAAACTTTAAAGAGTAAAAATTAGGTATTTCGCTGGCATTAATTCCATCACATCGTGATATTATATAGCCATAATAATAAGACAATCCAACACAAATATATTGTTTTAATGCGAACCAACAGTCCCTGAAATATTCACCGAACACACAAACTCTTCAGCTTTATTCTATCAAGTATGACTTAAATGTTTGGACTTGCGTAAACTAAAAACCGTAATACCATATAGTACGTTCCTTTTATATCTTATAGTTACTTAAAAGTATGATTATTTTTGAGGGTTTCACAGTGTAACAAGGCATCTGAGTTCAATTCGACGTGTTAATATCATAAGTAATGTGACATATTAGTGCCCATAAACTCTTGCCTACCAGGAAAATATCAATAAAATTAATCAACTTTAATATTACGAGCACAGCCATCAGGGCGAAACACTTTCACATAAAGAAAACAGACACGTAAAGATATATGTACCAAAATTTGAGTAAGTGTATAGTGTATTTGTAATTGTTATAGTGTATTTGTATGTTGTAATTGTTAAGGAACTCTGTTGGTTCTTAATTTTGTACAGTTGTTTAACCCGTAAAAGAAAGTATCGAGACGTAACAAGACCTCGTTAAAGTTCAGCAATTAGCAAAGTCAGACAAAAACTAGTGTCTGAAAAAGATTCTTGAATGTAATAATTTAGAAATGGAGTTTCTCTATACAAGTGACGTGACAATTCCTTTTTCTGAACTTTTAAGTGTAGCAATCTCTTTAATCGATATCTTAAAATTTATACCCAATAACATACGTCATTATTTAATATAATCTCTTGCCTAGACAGATAGGTAGATTTAACCTGGTCCGAGACTGTTTGAGAGTAAGTATACTTATTATACATTTGCAGCCATGATTCTCTTTATTGCGGTGCAGCTGATGCGTTGTGCAGGTAATGCATAAATTCTGGAGTATTGTTTATCAGATGCATACTTAAATATTTAATTTAATGGCCCAATAACTTTTATTCCAAAGGTAGAGTAGTTACATAGTTAGGGAAAGAGTTTTATTTTTGCCATTTAAGGTTTTTTGCCTTCTCTTTATGCTTGTCCGAGAGATATGAGACGGGGTAATATATATTGAATATTTTTGTATTAATTACAATGGTAAAATTGTTATTATATTTTCTATAAATGTATAATAAATCTTATTTTAAATCACTTATAAGTTTATTGAATCGATATTTGGTTGAGAGATTTAATGTAAAATGTTATTTTTTTTAGTATGTCATTATAATTGTTTCAATTTGGTCCCAGGAAATATGTTTATGTGTCTTAATTCCACACGTAGCTTAGGTACCTATTTGATTTAGGCGTGACGCTCATCTCTTCCATCTTATATACGCAATCCTTTTTAATCCTCTGAAAGATGCATTAAAAATTCCATCTCACATCTTTTTCTCATAAATGTATGATGTATGTATGATACGGATCTCCGAGGATTATTATACACGCTCAATCGTGATTTTTGTAATTCATTCTTATTGAATTTTGGCACCTATCATTAATTTGTAGTTTAGTTGTCATTGTTACTGGTAATTTTATTTTTGTTTAATCTAAGAATTCTTTTTTTTGGCTTCGGTTAACGATAAGGCCGCGTGTTTTGAACCCTTATTACCTGTTTTTATCTGTATTTATAATATCACAAAGTTTCATTAAACAAATATGTAAAAAATGATTTTGTTCTTATATTTATTTTGTAGTAAAATATTGAAATAATTTCAATCGAAAACGCTTTTCACATTTTCCAACCTTCAACTCACCTGTCAGGCATTTTGAAATCTGATTTTGATTATAAATTAAAAATAACCCGAATTCGCGTTTTAATGAATGCTGTATTCAGCTAAAACTTGGACAGAAATTTAATGAATTGCATTCTTCACTCGGACGTTAATCACGGCTTTGATCTGATGTCGAATGAAAAGGATAGCGCGACAACCAATCAAAGCTTTGTAATTAGTCCACTCGCTATGTACATTTCGACATACAGAAATAGATTTTTGTGGAGCCATTTAGCGAAAAACCATATAAGCTTTCGCCGCGTCGTTTGAGCAACCATACTTTGTTAATTATTTACTATTATTATCGTTTTCTTTTGCTTAGTTATATTTCTACCTTTATGT